ATTTGTTTTCTGTATGCCTCTTTTTTCCTCTTTCCTCCTTAACTGCCTTTTTTTCTGCCATTATTTTTTCAAATATTTATTCCATATATTCCATTTCCCTCTCTTTTTCGTTCTCTTGTTACATGTAAGTTGATATGCTTGATACTCTCCCACAGGTCTCTTAAGGCTGTTTACTTTTCTTCAACTTCTTTCTCTGTGATTTCTGTTCAGTAATTTTGAGTTGATCTTCAAGTTTAATTTATTCTCCTGCCATCTCAAATCTCCCAGTTATTTAATGTAGTGAAAATTTAACTGTGGTTATGGTACTTTTCAACGCTAAAGCTATCTTTCTTTCTTCCTTTCTCCTTTCCATCCTTCCTTCCTTCCTTTCTCTTTCTCTCTTTCTCATTTTGTATCAAAATTCCTATATGTTGAGTCATTGGCATCATATTTTTTCTTTTTTTCCTAACATTTTTTATTGATTTATAATAATTTTACAATGTTGTGTCAAATTCCAGTGTAGAGCACAATTTTTCAGTTATGCATGAACATATATACATATTCATTGTCATATTTTTTTCTCCGTGAGCTACCATAAAATCTTGTATATATTTCCCTGTGCTATGCAGTATAATCTTGTTTATCTAGTCTACATTTTGAAATCCCAGTCTGTCCCTTCCCATTCCCCGCCCGCTTGGCAACCACAAGTTTGTATTCTATGTCTATGAGTCTGTTTCTGTCCTGTATTTATGTTTTGTTTGTTTGTTTGCACCATATTTTTCATTAATTTTAGAGCATTGATTTCTTTAATTATTTGGACATATTAATAGTTGCTTTGAAATCATTAGCTGATAAATTCAAAACCTTGGCCCACTCAGAGTCAGTCACTACTGACTTTTCTTTTCCTAAGTATGAACCATACCTTCTAGATTTTTGATACACTTTGTAAGTTTGGGTTGTAAATTAGACATTATAGATTATATTTTCTGGGTTCTGTTTTCTTTTTCTAAGTTTTTTTTTTAATTTCTAAACACTTTCTTGGATTAATTTGCAGAATTTTTTTCCCCTATCTTCTTCAGCAGCATATGCCACTGGGGTTCTGCACAGTTTTTTAAAAATTCTTATTTATTTTGTTTTCAGTTTGACCCATGTGTTTATTTAGCTTAGTAACCAGCTAATGATTTGGGCAGAAGTTGTAGTCAAACATCTTGAGCCCTGAGGCTCCCTCTCTCTGTTGACCAATCTGCACATGCTTTGGGAGCACATTCAAAATTGTGGCCAGTTCTCAAGTTTCTTTGGACTTTAGTTTTTGCTGGGCTGCACAGACACGTATTTTCTCATAATCCAAGAACATATGTAGAATTTATCTCAGCCCTTCCATGATTCTCTCATTTCTAGTATCACCATTATAAATTTATGGCTTTGTGCATGTGTGTGTGTATGAGGAAAAATCCTTGCACTGATAAAACTGCATTTCTTGATAGAACCAGAGAGGATTGAGGAGCAGCTCCTGTTAAGGTCATAGACTCCTGCCTTCTTGCATGAAACTCTATCAATTTTCAAGAATAAATGCTTCTCAATTTGTTGTCTGCATTTGGTAATTTCCAGAGTCCTGAAAATGGTTGCTTCTGACAACTTTGTCCTGTTTTACACTTGTGTTTTGCAGAGAGGATTCACTGATATCTTTATACTATGATAATTACAAGTAGTTTTATTAATGCTGATTAATGAAATTGAGTTAATGTAGAGTGAACATGAAATACAATAGACGATATAATTGCCTCTTTAATACCAATGCTAGAGGACAAAAAAACTCTCTGATAAGCTGGACATATTTTGAATTGTTTCATTTTTTATATGAACATATGAATCAGCCTCTTACTTACTGAATCCTGGTAGATATCATGACTATAACATTAAATTCTCGTACATAGACACTCTTTTCTTCATCTCAGTTTTGCTATCTGCATCTCAGTTTCCTTATCCTTCAATTTCCCTTCAATTCTAACAAGACTCATTTACACAAAAAGCATCTTAGGTAGAACACCAGTATGACAGCTAATTTTATGCATCAGTTGTCTACACAAAGTGTCCAGATATTTGGCTAAACATTATTCCTGGACATGCCTATGAGGGTGTTTCTAGATCAAATTAGTATTTAGTAGGTGGACTCAGGAAAGCAGATTGCCCTCCCCAATTTGGGTGGGCTTCATCCAATCTGGGAGCCTAAACAGAACAAAAGGTAGAGAAAGGGAGAATTCACCCCTTCTCTGCTCAACTGGATGAGCTAGGGTATCAGTCTTCCCACGCACTTAGACTTGGATTTGCATGCTCAGCTCCTCTGGGTCTCAGGCCTTCAGATTCAGATTCAGATTGAACTACATCGGTGGCTTTCCTGGGTCTCCAACTTGCAAATGGCTGATCTTGAGATTTCTCAGCCTCCATAATCACATGAGTCAATTATATCCAAAAGCAAGGCTATCTGGGTTGAAAGTGAGGGATGGGGCCAAAACCTTACCCACTTTGCTACTTTTCATAGTAGCCTATGAATCACTGTTGAGGAGCCCTAGAGCATCAACAAACTATATTTAATGAACTTAGGTCAGATTTAAATTTCTTTATTTCACAAGGGAGAGAATTGAGGCTCAGACTAACTGACTCACCCAAAACTAACAGACCAGACAGATGAATATCAGTTTCCGGATGGATTCATCTTTCCAATAGCATTGCTGTTAAATATTTCTGTGCTTATTCTCAAAGGCAGAGAATGTGGCATATCCACCTCTGTACTGTTCATGACTTTCACCTTACCTGACACTAAACCGAACCTCAAAATATTTGTTGAATTTATTAATTAAACAATATGAGTCATACACTAAAACTGAGATACAGAACAAAATATTCCCCTATGATACCTGAGCTCTGACCTACTCCATGTCAGCTTCACACAAGGGATTTGTTAAGGTTCTGTTTCTTATTATCTCTGCCTGTACATAGGGAATTATCTCTCAATATTATTAGCTTTCTCTTGAAAAAAGAGAGATAAAAGTCATGCTGACTCTATATTTAAGATCAGATGATGCAGATTCTTTTAGTTTAAGATGCACCATGCACAAGAGATAATTTTATGTAGATCAGCATGACCTGCCCAGATGAATGTTTTCATTTACTCAACTAGTTTCCTAAGTAAGATTAAGCAGTTAAGCTTCTCAAGACTTATCACCAGCTCTCTGGTTGAGCCTTAGAGTAAATAGGACATTGAGGATAAGCTGTTGGTTCTGCTTTAACAGTGTTGGGGAATTCTACTGATTAGCAGCTGTCATGTCTCTGACGGACATGAATGAAGAGGGTGAAGAAAAATTCAGGAAACAAGGGACACATTTCCAGGTAAAATAGTAGTTTGGTGGTTTTTACCTCTTTTAATACTTACTAACACTGTACATGAAGGTATTATGCATACAGTAAATTGATATACTCAGAATAATAAGAGATTCAGAAAGGGTTGGTACCATCATAATTATGATGTTGTGATTTGTAATAAATATATATATATATATATAGGTTCTTCGTCCCCAGCTCTGACACAAGATTCCTAAAACACTTGTAAATTCCTATGTGATAAGAGCACATGGAGCATCTTTTGTTCTAACAGGGTGACTCTGGGGGAGCTCCTTGATCAGGGCTGATGGCCACTTCTCTAGGAAAGGGAGAGGGTCTGGAAATGGAGTGAGGAAGACTCCATAAAATCCAAATAGTGTGGCTTCAGGGAGCCTCCAGGTTGATGACCACATCCATATACCGGGAGGTAACACACCTCCCCCAGCTCCACAGGGACCCTCCCAGACCTCACTCTACATTTCTCTCTCTGACTGTTCATCTGTATCCTTTATCATATCCTTTGACAAACTGGTAAATGTAAGTTAGTGTTTCCTTGTGAGCTGTTCTGGCAAATGATCGAACCCAACAGGGAGGAGACCATGGAACCTCTGATTCACAGCCAAGTCAGACAGAAGTTGTGGGCAACTTGGGGACATAATACTTGTGATTGGCATCTGAAGTGGGGCTGACGTCTCTTGGGACTGAGCCCTTAACCAGAGGGATTTAATACTATTTCCAGGTAGATAGCGTCAGAACTGAGCTAAATCGTAGGACACCCAGCAGGTGTCACAGAATTGCTTGATGCAAGGCGGGGGAATCCACACATGTGGTCTGCAGGAGTGTCAGAAAAGAGGTGTTCTGTGCAAAAGGAGAAAGACGCAGGAGGAGAGCTGGAGGTTTTTCCAATACAATGACTTTTCTCCTTTTCGTATATAAGTTTGAAACAAAGGCCAGTTTTTATTTTGTTTGGATAACTTGGTCTCTTCTACCCCTTCCTAATTTCCAGGAGGCAATAACCTGTTTACTTGACTCTGACAGGAAGAAATCCTTCCTTCTTTGCCCCTTCTTAACCTGCTCTTTGGTTCAGTGGAGGAATAGTTAAGCTCTAACCACCGGAACCCAGAAAAGTAGAATGACGTTCAGCACATTACTGCCCTCCTTTTTATAGCAGGCTCACGCAGAGGGACGTGGATGGTCTAATGCCTTAAATTTGTTCATTTCTTCATACTTATTTAAGATCCTTTCAAATTCAGTATCATTTTGTTCCTTCCATAAATACATAACCGAGGCAGTATTTTCACTACCGTTTTACAGGTAACAGAATGACAGCTCAGAGACGTGATGTTAATGACTCACAGTCACACAGTTCATATTTGTTAAGCCAGGTATTAAAATGAGGTCTCCAGTTCTCATGTCCTGGGCACTGTATCACATCACAGGAAAAACAAATTCAGAGCAACCAAGGAGGAAGCCATTATTCACCAAAAATGCGGAGAGGTTACACATGACTTCGACCTGCTTGTACTATAATCTTATAGTTAAAATAATCAAAATACTTATTTAGGAAAATGATGGTGGGGCCACATCTCAAAGGCAAGCATGTGGACACAAAATGCCTGGTGTCATTCTCCCTAATGACTTACCCTGTAGCTGACATCTTCCGAGAGATTCGATGTGCCCACAGTGGACTCTGCTTGCCACAAGGTCTCCTTGATGCTGCAACCATACAGGAACACATTCTTCTTTTGGGAGTGACCATGGAAATCACAGAAGACCTACAATGGCCAAGCAAAGGAGAAAGTCAGTCCAGGTCAGGTCTATGGGTTTCTTAAATGTTTAAAATGTCAGCTTTCTTAGATACTATGCAGAACCACACATGGGGGGATCACTGGTGACTTTGGTGGTAGAGTTTTCAGAAAAGAAGATAGCTTGGAAAGGGCTTAAGATTGAACAGGACGTAAGGAAATATGAGCCACGTGCAGCTCTTTTGAGAAATTTACTTGTGACAGGGGAGGAAACAGGGTTAAAACAGAGAGGAAATAGGAAATAGACTTAAAAAAAATGAGAGTTTCATATAATTTTGAAAGTCATTGTGAAATGTCCACTTAAAAGGAACAGATTGACTATAAAAAAAAGGAGCTAATAAATCACCATAATTTATTCTGTAGCGTCTGATGTAGTAAATAAATAAATAAATAAATGACCGCTAAACTCAATAGCTTAGCAAATGGAGGTTTATTTTTCAGCATGTCTTTTTTCTTTCAGGTTCCAAGGTAAAGAAGAAGTCCCAATTTGAGGCATGCCAGTATCGTGGTAAAATTTGCAAGGAGTATATAAAGTTGTCTTTATTTTCCTACATAAAAATTGTAAAATGGAAAATGCCAAAAATCTACACACACAAATTATTACACAATTAGAAGTTCGAATGTCAATGTATAAAAATCAAGTGCATCTATATGTACTACCAATATTCAAACAAAAGTCTGAATTTAAAAACAGTATTTAAAATAGTATGAAAGTATTAAACTCATAAGAATAACTTTAAAGATGTACAAGACACATTACTGAGAAAAATGAAAAAATTAAATTCTTAGTAAATTTATCTACATAAGTTCAATGCCATGTCATTCAAAATCCACAGAGAGTGTTTTGTTTTGTTCTTCATTTTGTGGAAACTTGCACGTTGATCCTACACCTAAAAACATTTATTCTTGTTACGTGTTTAAAGGTTTTTATGTGGACTAGAGATCTTAACATGGATGATAAAACAGTAAAGCTATCTGAGGGTAACAGGCTCCTATGTATGACCTTGGAGTTGGAAAAGGGTTCTTAAAGAGGACACAAGTGAGAACTAAACATAAATGAAAATATTTTTAAATTAGATATATTCCATTAAGCTCTTCTGTGGATCTAAAGACACCATGAAGAATGTGAAAAGGCAAGCCAGAGAGTGAAATAACATATTTGCCACTCATACATACAACCAATGATTCCTATAGAGAATGTGTGTGTGTGTGTGTGTGTGTGTGTGTGTGTGTGTGTATCAATAAGAAAAAAAGAACCAACCCCAATTTTTTAAATGGGCAAAAAACTTGAATTGACATTTCACAAAAGAGAATGTCCAGATGGCAAATGAAAAGCAAATAAAAATGTAGTCAACCTCATTAATATCAAGGAAATTAATATAAACCTCACAATGGGATCCCACCGCATCTAATGGGTTATTAGGACTGCTAGCATCATGCAGGGATCACACACCAAAGGCTGACCAGGATACGGGGCAAGTGGAGCCCAGACTGTGGGACTACAACGCTACACCGCGACTGTGAGAAACAATTTGAGAGTGTCTTTTAAAAGTGAGTTATACACATATTCTAGAACCTGCCCAACGGAAATGCATACATCGGGGCACCAGAAGATATCAAGAATGTGCACAGCACCACTATTTTTAGGAGCCTAAATGTGTAAGCTGTAAAATGGGTTAGTAAACTGTGAGATCATCGTTCAACACGATACTCTCCAGTGTTGAGCATGAAAGAACAAACTAGATACAAAAGAATATCCAGACACTCTCCTTTATACGACATTCAAAACCAGACAAAACTAACACAGCGATAGAATGAGGGGAGTGCATGCGGGACATTGTATGACCGATGTCTCTGGGTTGCAGGTGGTGCTCCGTTTCTCCGTTTGGTTGGTGGTTACATGGTGTGTTCGTTTTATGAGACTTGATCAAGCTGTAGCAGTGTGACCTGTGTACATAAACTTAACATATGATACCTACACGTCTGTGGGTTTCAGAGGGACAGACGGCCTGGTATTTTAATGTGGTATTTCTTCACATTTGTTCCTCAGTCTCTAGAAGCGTAGGTTTTATGTAGTAAGTTAAGGAAACAGAGTAGGTAGCGGAAGGTGTTTATCAAATTGCTAATGATACAGAATCAAGAACAACTGACAGCAGAGGAAATAAAAGCGGGAATTACAAGTGCAAAAAGAGCAGAATTAGCAGAAATAGAAACACTTAAAACAAACGCAGCTCCTACAATTAGATTCAAACAGTGGCACAAGTGAAAGAGGCGTTTTGCTAAGAAGTAGGTTCTGAACGAGAGACGTGGAAGTTTTAGATGACAGTTTGCTCAGAATGAATCAGCAGCCACGAACGGCAAAATTTAATCTAATCATAAATTGATTTTGGAGAAGTAAAGTGGTCATACATTAGGAGAACAATCAGTCCAATGTACCTCGTGCTGGTCAATTTGCATTTAACACAGTGTTTTTCAAAACTGAGTGGAGCCTTTTAAAACAAGCTAGGATACCTCAGTAGAGAGGAATCAGAAAGCCAAGGGAAACAGAAATGTCTGTGAACAGAATAGCTGAAGAAAAAAAGGCAGCTTAATGGGGTTTTGATAAGCAGTTCCCCAAATTTACAAACTCTCCCATGTGAAACATGAATAGATTACTTGCTATCATCTCAAAGAGCAGAGGAAGGTGAAAGGAAGGGAAATATGGACACAGATTCCAGCTCCATATTAAATTCAGTTGCTGAATATTTATTACGACTGGCAAGAAATAACCTTCTATGGTTATAGCTGTCCTGCAATGCTGTGTCACACTTTTAAAAATGTCTATTCTCCGGAAGTATCTCAGCAAAAGCCAAATATATTCCTATCAACGATGTTGCTTGTTGAGAAATTAGACAAGATGATGACTGAGCCTACTTGCTGGAATGTGATCAAGTCCTGTAGTTCATTGATTGAATAGGAAGCTGTTGGCAGCAGGAATGGCCCAGGACACGCAGGGCGGATGCAGGAAGCCATAAATACACATGAGCCAGAAAAATAAAAGGACCAACAGGTGGGTGGTCCGCCCAGTCATCACAGGAGAAGACGAAGACTAACTCTGGGATGGCAAGTTAGCACTGGCAAGGTGTATGGCTTTGCTGGCGGGCTGGAAAAGCAGCGAAGAATTCAGGGATGTCAGGACTGACTTCTGGAATCCAGGTTGTTGTCAGACAAGGAACACTGACTTGAGCAGGAGGTGGCAAGTTAGACAGATCAAATATCGGCGAGATGAGAGTTTTAAGAACTAAAGGACTTGAAATTGCCCTCCACGGTTACCTTCTTTTCCTCCTCCCTCTTTTTATTGTCAGTAATAGAAAGTGACTATTTGGTGGGAAGGGGGTTAATTACAATATAAATTCCCTATTAGCAGAATAGGATTTTTTTGTCTTTTGTTTTTTTTTTTTTACCCCTCAACAGTGTTTTGGTTTTTTTTTTTAATTTATTTATTTTAATCGAAGTACAGTCAATTACAATGTGTCAATTTCTGGTGTACAACACAATGTTCCAATCATGCATATACATACATATATTCGTTTTCATATTTTTTTCATTAAAGGTTATTTCAAGATATTGGACATAGTTCCCTGTGCTATACGGGAGAAACTTTTTTTTAATCTATTTTTATATATAGTAGCCAACATTTGTAAATCTCAAACTCCCAAGTTTTACCCCTTCCTACCCCCTTTCCCCAGTAACCATAAGATTGTTTACTATCTCTGAGAGTCTGTTTCTGTTTTGTAGATGAGTTTATAGTTTCCTTTTTTTTTTTTTAGCTTCCGCATGTAAGTGATATCATATGGTACTTTTCTTTCTCTTTCTGGCTTACTTCACTTAGAATGACATTCTCCAGGTCCATCCTAGCAGAAAAGTAGATTTAAGTATTTTTTTCCTCTTCAAAAAAAGAATCTAATTTTTAGTAGGATCTTTAATTCATAGTTTCAGGTTAAAGTCTTATAAGAAAATAAATGTCTACAGCTTCTAGATTATCAGCAAGCTATGGGCATCAGAGCAGAAGTTCATGCAGATTTGGGCGGAGGGAGCTGATCCAATAACAAGACAAATAATGAAAAAGCAGAGCAGAAGCAGTGAGTGAGCAGAGTACGTTGTTCTGCAAAAGGTGAGGTAATTAAGCAAATGTGCAGAGAAAGGCAGAAAACAGACAACAGTGTGGCCACAGAAGGAGGAAACTGAGAGACGGAAAGCAGAACTGTCTGGGGTTTGGGTGCCTTCCAGCCCTGGTTAGACCTTATCAGACTTTTTTTCCTTCACAACTGACACTTTGGGTTACTTTAGTGGGTTTCAGTTATTTGCAACAAAAATGTTATCCCCTAGGCCAGTGCTTCTCCATCCATCCATGCGTTAGAATCTCCGGAGGAGATTTTAAAAATATCAGTGCCTGGAGCCCACCTCCAGAGATTCTGATTTAATTGGTCTGCAGTGATTCCAGGGAGATGGGATTTTGAGAAGTTTTCCAGGTGATTCTAAGCGTGCAGCCAGCGTGGAGACCCACTGCACGGGTCTAGAGTTCAGAGCAGTGGATCTTGTGTGTTACCCAGCATCAGAATAACCTGGAGGGCTTGTTACAGTAAAGACTCTGGGCCACTCCCCAGCGATTCTGAGATTCAAGGAAGTCGGGGTGAGGCCCAAGAACATGCATTTCTAACAGTCCCCAAGCAATGCCGATGCCCCGGGACCATGCTGTGAAAGCCTCTATTCTAAAGGAACCAATCAAACAATTGTTTGAGGTTTAAATCGCTACCCTTCTGAATTTTCCACCAACCTTTATCTCTTACACCTCAGTTTCTCTCTGTGGATAAACACCCACCATTCTTATGAGAAGTGTGCAAACAAATTAAGACGGTGTCTTAGCAACGGATTTCTCAAAAAAGCCAGAAGCTACGCCGACGTGGTGACAGGCGCTCCTTAAACTGCTG